TGTTACTTTTAATTTTTTTCTCTCGTTCAATTCAAACAAAAAATTTAGGTGTCGGCTGGAAATTTGACAAGTGGAGGACGACCCGAATGTTAAGGTCATGTTCCAAGCACGAAAGATTGAAAGTGACGTGACACCTTTCTATTGGCGGCCTTTTCTTTTTCGGATTTCTAGTTCTTTCTTTTAACTCATTCTTTGAATCAGTTTTTTTTTTAATTGTTTTAAGTCATTACAAAATAAAGACTTTTGGATTTTGGTTCGCTCCTGTAATTTTTTTAATTCTAAAATTTATAATTAATTCATTCGGATCATAATTTTTTTATGCTTTGACTTTTTTTTGTTTTAATTTCTTTTTAATGTTTTACATATTTTAAGTGATATGATTTTTTTTACGTATACCCTTATTTGAAAATTAATATTTTTATTTCACAATCATAATTATTTTTATTTTATATACTTCATATTAAATGAAGATATTTTAGATTCAATATTTTATATATTTCTCAATATTGTTTTTAGTTTCATTATTATGTAATTATTTTTTAAGTATTTATTTATTTATTAGAAGGTTAAGTGATTATTTTAAATACTACTTAGAATTGTTAGTGATACTTTATTAATATGCGATATTTTTAAATGATTTCACATATTTTTAAAATAAACATTACTTACATACTATAAAATCATTATTAGAGACAAAAAAGTGATTTAAGAGGAATGAAAATAAAAAAAAATTCAAAGATTAAAATTAAAATTTACTTATTTTATAACGATAACAATAATCTTTATAAATTTTAAAAGGATGAAAAATAGAGAAAATATTTTATAGGAACTAAACTTAAATCTCTTAAAATTTACAGGACAAAATGAATCATTTTGATTTTGGTTAATTTTTGTAAATTTTTTTCTATATTTATTTTTTCTCTAAAATTTATAATTACTTCATATAAACCATATTTTTTTAAAAATGTTTTAGACTTTTTTTTTGTTTCAAAATTATTGCTGTTTACATATTTCAAGTGATATTAATTACTTTTTTCATGTATACCCTTATTTACAATTAATATTTCTACTCCATGACCATAATAACTTTGCTCCCTTTGTTCTCTATTATAAGAAAAAATATATTTTTATTCTTAAATATAACTAAATTTAATTACTTTTATCTCATTTAATGACATTTTCTACAAAATGTCTCTTTTTTAAGACATGATCTTTTAGTTGCACTATTTTTTTTTAACATTTATATCAAAGATAATTTAGGAAAAGTCTTATGAGGTTAGTAAAATTTAATGCAAATAACTAATTTTCTTAATATGCATAAAATTAGTTTTTTTTTTTGCTTATAATAGTGAGCACAAGGAATATATTTCAAGATATTAAATGAGGGTATTTTAGACTCAACATACTAGTATTAAATATTTTTTAAGCGGTGTCCAAAAACTTTAAACATATAAAATTATGATCTAGATGAAATATTGTTTTTAGTCTCCATTATTATGTAATTATGCTTAAGGGCTTGTTTAATCATTATAAGGTTAAGTGACCTTCTAAGGTATTACCTACAATTGCTAGCAATACCATATTAATGTGACACCTCTAAATAATTTTATATGTTTTTAAAATAATAGTTATTTACATAACTTAAAATCATCATTAGAGACAAGAGAAAAGTGATTTTTAGAGGAATGAAAATCAAAGAAAAATATTTTTATGGGACCAAAATTAAAATTTATTCATTTTACAAGGACAAAAAATATTTTATAAAGATAAAAAATAATCTTTATAAATTTTAAAAGGATAAAAAATAAAAAAAAAAATTTTTACAGGGACAAACTTAAATCTCTTAAATTTTATAGGATAAAATAAACATGTTTTGATTCTAGTTAGCTCCCATTAAATTTTTTTTTTATTCTCTAAAATTTGGAATAACTTCTTATAGACCATAATCTTTCTATGTTTTAGACTTTCCTTTTTGTTTCAAAATTTTTAATATTTTATATATTTCAAGTGATATTAATTACCTTTTTTCATGTATACCCTTATTTGATGATTAATATTTTTACTCCATAACCATAATTGTTTTTACTCTATACTCTTGTTCTCTACTATATGAAAAAAACACATTTTTTTCTTAATCATGAGCAAATTTAATTATTTTTTCTCATTTAATGATATTCTCTTTAAAATATCTCTATTTTAAGATATGACTTTTCAGTTGCACTATTCCTTTTAATATTTATGACAAGGACAATAAAAAAAAAAGAATCTCATAAGATTAGTAAAATTTAATACAAATAACTAACTTTTTTAATATGTGTAATTTTTTTTTGCATATAATAGCGAACAGAAGGAGTACATTTCAAGATATTAAATGAGAGTATTTTAGACTCAACATACTAATTTTGATTATTTCTTAAGGGGTGTCTAAAACTTTAAACATAGAAAATTATGATACAAAGGAAATATTGTTTTCAGTCCTCATTATTATGTAATTATTTTTAAGTATTTGTTTATTCATTAGAAGGTTAATTGATTATCTTAGGTACTACCTACAATTGTTAGTGATATCAAATTAATGTGTGAAACCTCTAAATTTTTTTATATATTTTTAAAATAAATATTTTTTATATACCATAAAATATCATTAGACAGAAAAAAGTGATTTTAAATGAATGAAAATCAAAGAAAAATATTTTTATAAGGACCAAATCAGAGTTTACTCATTTTACAAGGAAAAAAAATATTTTATAAGGACCAAAAACAATCTTTATAAAATTTAAAAGAATGAAAAGTAAAGAAGATTTTTTTACTAGGACCAAACTTCAGTCTCTCAAATTTTATGAGACAAATGAACACATTTTGATTTTAGTTGATCTCTAAAATTTAGAATTACTTCATATATATATATATATAGATGAGGGATCTTTTTACTTTAGAAGTAAGTCTACCTAGACTTACTCCATTCAAATTTCAACGACCTAACCGTTGAATTTAAAAGTTCTTAATGAAATGAAGTATCAAATGATTTTCAAAATTTTTAAAAATGTGTAGATTTGATCTATGCATTAAGAACTTTAAATTCAACGGTTGGATTGTTGAAATTTGATGTAAAACACGAGTTATTGAATGGAGTAAGTCTAGATAGACTTATTTCTGGAGTAAATGGATCCTTCCTCATATACATATATTAGACTTCCTTTTGTTGTTAATATTTTACATATTTCTAGTGATATTAATTACTTTTCTTTTTCATGTATACTCTTATTTAACAATTAATATTTCTACTTCATAACCATAATTGTTTTTACTTTGTACTCCCTTTGTGATCTATTATAAGAAGAAAAAAATACACATTTTTTTTTATATTTGAAATGTAAACAAATTTAACTACTTTTGTCTCATTTAACAATATTCTCTCTAAAATATATTTCTCTTTTAAGACATGATCTTTCAGTTGCACTATTTTTTTTAGCATTTATAACAAAATCAATTTAGGAAGAATCTTATGGGAGTAATAAAAATTAATGCAAATAATTAATTTTTCTTAAAATGCATAATTTTTTTTCTTCTTATAATAGCAAATTGAGAAAGTATATTTCAAGATATTAAATGAGGGTATTTTAGACTCAATATACTAGTCTTTAATATTTGTTAAGAGGTTTGAAAAAACCTTAAACATAAATTTTTACTATCCAAAGAGAATATTATTTTTAGCCAATTATTATCTAATTATTTTTAAGTATTTATTTATTCATTAGAAGGTTAAGTGATCATCATATGTACTATTTACAATTGATAATACCATATTAATGCGTGACACTTCTAAAAAATTTCATAAATTTTTAAAATAAATATTATTTATATACTTTAAAAAATCATCATTAGGAAAAAAAGTTATTTTAGGAAAATGAAAATCATAAAAAATATTTTTATAAGGAAAAAAATTATTTTATAAAGACCAAAAATAATCTTTACAAATTTTAAAAGCTTAAAAAAATATTTTACAGAAACTAAAATTAAATCTCTCAAATTTTACATGACTGAAAATTTATTTAAATTTTATTATTTTATTGATAAAAATTATATTAAAGACAACCTAATTCAAACTTAAAATTATGCATATATTATCTTAACCTTTATTATTAGATTGACTTTAATAATTTTAATTGTCTATCAATGTAATTTATTTTTATATATTATTTGTCATTATTTTATTTTATTTCATTAATTTTTTTATATAAATTTTAGAATTAATCTCTTTTAATGTAACAATGGAAATTGAATGATAATTAGTTCGCCAATCAATCAGTATCAAATTATTTCAGTATCACCTATGATCAAATTCTGATACTTAATTGTGCTAAATATTTTTTAAAATTTTTTTCCCTACATAATAATCTTTAAATATTTATGGTTAAAAAGAGAGAGAGAGAAAAAAAATTAAGACAACGTGTAGAATTTTAGGTAAAAAATAAATACAAATCCAAAAAAATTAAATTCATTGAATAAATGATAAATTCATCCCAAGTATTATAGAAAAGGGAAAGAAAGCAGCAACCTTGTGCAAAAGGTAGCAATTTGCTAAACCCTTGATGATGATTTTTTGAGAAAAAGGATTTGGTTTCCCTTTTTTATCAAAAGATAACCTAAAAAGAAGGATGACACATTGACAATATCCACAATAGACTGCACTTTTTGGCTAATTTATACAGAATCTGCTCATTACCTAACCTAATACAGCTACTTTAGAAACATAAACTTAAAAAAAATAAAAATAAAATTAGAAAATGATTATGAAAGAATAATAATAAAAAAAAGAATCTGATGAATTGAAGACACCAACGTGGGGAAGTCTCGAGATCCTTGATTTGTTAATGACAGTGAGTTATTAGTTATTATTACAAATTCATGCATTGCATTTGCATACATAATAATGGGAACAACCTCACATTCCCATCAACCCTACGCTACGCGTCACTATCCCACACCACACCGACATATAAGACAACCCCCCGCGCACGTTACTAACATGCGCCACCCTCTCTCCTTCATTTATCAATCTCTCTCTCTCTCTTCAAAATTCACTCCTTCAATTCTTCTCTCTCTCTCTCTCTCTCTCTCTGTTTTATTGTGCTGATTGCAAGATTTCTTTTTGCCAAATCTCACACATCTCTGAGCATCAATTTCAAACAAAAACGTCCTCTCGCTCTCTCCATTCATTCATTAATTCCTGATTTCTTTTCTCTGCTAAGTGCCAACGCTTGTTCTTGATTTGATTCAAACGTTCCAACAACGCCAGTTTCGTATTCTTTGTGATTGTGATCATCGTTTGCTAGTAATCACAATCGTTGTTGTTAGGTTTAGGTTTTCGTGATTTGGCTCTGTAACAACCTATGAATTGGTGTTTGTTTCTCTGAATTGCAATGCGATGAGAAGGCGGCATGACCTAATGGAAAAAGGGGCAGCAAAGAATCAGAATTCCCGCCTTTGCTGTTTGGTGTCCCTTTCCGCGTTCTTCTGGTTTTTGCTCCTTTACTTCCATTTTGTGGTTCTTGCAGGAGATAATAGTAATGCCAACACCAAGAGTAATTACAATGACCATGTTGATCACTCGGCTCTATCAACACCTGTTTCTGTTGATTATGAACCTGCCCAAGTCCATGTAACTCATGCCCCTCCTAGAAAGATCGCTTTCCCTAGTGACACCGTAACTGAAACCCCTCGCATGGAGAAGAATTTCCCTTTTATGAAAGCATTGAGAACTGCTGAGAACAAGAGTGATCCCTGTGGGGGGAGGTACATTTATGTGCATGACCTTCCCTCCAGGTTTAATGAGGATATGTTGAAGGAGTGCAAGAGTTTGAGTCTTTGGACTAATATGTGTAAGTTCACCACCAATGCTGGCCTTGGTCCACCCCTTGAGAATGCTGAAGGGGTGTTCTCTAATACTGGCTGGTATGCTACCAATCAGTTTGCGGTTGATGTCATATTCAGCAATCGGATGAAGCAGTATGAGTGCTTGACAAAGGATTCCTCTATTGCTGCTGCGGTTTTTGTACCCTTCTATGCTGGCTTTGACATAGCGCGTTATCTTTGGGGTTTTAATATTTCGGTGAGGGATGCCGCTTCGCTTGATCTGGTTGACTGGCTTGTGAAGAGGCCAGAGTGGAGTATAATGAATGGCAGAGACCATTTTCTTGTGGCGGGGAGGATAACGTGGGATTTCAGGAGGCTATCGGAGGAAGAATCGGATTGGGGCAATAAGCTTCTGTTTTTGCCAGCAGCTAAGAATATGTCCATGCTTGTGGTTGAGTCCAGTCCTTGGAATGCAAATGATTTTGGGATTCCATATCCTACATACTTCCACCCTGCAAAGGATGCTGATGTGTTCATTTGGCAGGATAGAATGAGGAAACTAGAGAGGAAGTGGCTATTCTCCTTTGCTGGTGCTCCCCGTCCTGGCAACCCCAAATCAATCAGGGGTCAGTTAATTGATCAATGCAGAAGCTCTAAGGCTTGTAAGCTGTTGGAATGTGACTTTGGTGAAAGCAAATGTCATTCCCCCAGCAGCATAATGAAGATGTTTCAAAGCTCGCTTTTCTGCTTGCAACCCCAGGGTGATTCGTACACACGAAGATCTGCTTTTGATTCTATGTTGGCTGGTTGTATACCTGTCTTCTTCCATCCAGGCTCAGCTTATACGCAATATACGTGGCATCTTCCCAAGAATTACTCCAAGTATTCTGTCTTCATTCCAGAGGATGATATTCGGAAGAGGAATATCAGTATAGAGGAAAGGCTTAGTCAGATATCTCCTGAGCAAGTGAAGATCATGAGAGAAGAAGTCATTGGTCTCATTCCAAGACTAGTATATGCTGATCCTCGCTCCAAATTAGAAACTCTTAATGATGCATTTGATGTTGCTGTACAAGCAGTAATAGACAAGGTTACAAAGTTGAGGAAGGATATTATTGAAGATCGGACAGATGACAACTTCATTGAGGAGAACAGTTGGAAATATGCATTGTTGCCCGAGGGAGAGCATGAGGTAGGACCTCATGAATGGGATCCTTTCTTCTCGAAACCAAAGGATGGTAGTGGGGATTCCAATGATCCCTCTCCTGAAGCTGCAAAAAATTCTTGGAAGAATGAGCAAAGAAATCATTCATGAAGGGAAGGGGGTAAGAAAATCTGCAGGGTGCTAAAGTAAGGTTAATGCAGACTTAGAAATGATTTACTTGAATTGGGGTAGAATTACAAATTGATGTTGGGTCTTGCTGTGAACTTACTGCTGAACTTGTGTCTAAGGATATTGAGCGAGCCTCCATCATTGAAACCCCAGTCATGGAGACATATTCTTTGCTTTACACATTTTTGTGTTATAGGTTTTTCTGTTTTCTGCTCCTTAGTGGTTCCCAGAATGTTTTGGCCTTTTGTGAGGTTAATAATTCCTTTCATGTAATAGTTTTATTCATTTGATTCATATAGGAAATATAAACAAATTTATTACAGATAATGGTAAACCCAATGAAGTTTAACCATTGAAGTCTCGGATAGATCAGTTGAAGTGTCATTTCGCCGATGCATCATCCTGCAATACATGAAAATGTGTTGAAATATTTGATCATTTTCAGTAAAATAAATGCTTTACCTTTCTCTACTTTTGCATTTTTTGATTGTCTGGTTCTTTTATTCGTAGTTAAATTGGAACATTCATTTTAGTATATTGGGTTACTTCATTTTTCTGAATGCAGCTGCGTGAATGGAATGCCTTGCTTAGCAATCAAAGCAACTAGAGAAATGTATGAGCTGTTTTCTTTGCACGCCAGCTGCTTTCTGGTTTATAATTCACGTTTCTAAGTTTTGGGTCAAAAAAATGGTAAGCACAGTTAAATCTAAGATCTGATTAATTTAAAATACGGAATCCTTAATTTATTGCATAGTACCGTGTGTCCAATTGATATCACTGATTTTTAAATGACAGTTAAGCAGTCGGTGGTAGAAAAGAAGTCACTGTAAAATTCTCCTCGAAAGTATGTAACTATTCATTTCATTCTGTGATATGAGTGAAAGAAATTCTATTGACGTAGATTCGCTTTGAAAATTCATCGTACTTTGAGAAAAATGCCACAAATATCTTTCCGGACAACTCTTTTAACATTGTCTTTTGCAATGACTGTGGTAAATGGTATTTTTGTCCTTAATGAAAATGCTGAGCTACTACTAGTATTAATTTCCTCGGGTTTGTTTTTGTTATCTTCCATCTGTCCAGATGATTATTTTATTGTGCAATTTTCTCGTTAAAGTAATGTTCCAATATTGTGATGCAATACGTGTAACTATAACTAATTAAAAAATACAGCTGTTATAATTAAAACCATTGGCATCTTAATTTTGATTCTTGATGCGAAGAAAATCAATTCAGATTGGACAAGGCCCAGATTGTACAAGGTTTTGATTTGTCTGTCTTATGTCACACGCGGAAAAGAACTCTCATTCATGTTAAATTATTTTACAAATTCATCTACAACTAGGAGAGACACGAAGAGAAAAATGGCAAGTGTGAAATAAAATGTGTAATGCATTAGAGAAAAATGAGTTGTATTACAAGAATAAAATATTTTTTAGAAAACCAGTGGGAAGAAAATAAATTGTTGGTGTTTTATTAATGATTAACTATTCTTGTACAAATTTATACTCGTATACTTTTTTAGTTGTAACTAGTAGATAATATAGGACAACTTTTTCCAATCTATAACACGTTTGGAAATGCTCACATTGTTGACAAACGGGCCCAAATACTAGTGTCTCTGGGAGAGACAACTTCCATTGCTGAGCAGAGGTAGACCAAGGCTGGTGCACATGTAAGGCTAGAGTGTGTGTGTGCATCGATTAAGAAATTAATAAATATATCATTTTTATTAAAAATTACAATAAGATTATAATATTAATACTATTTCAATATTAGTTTTTATAAAATTATCACTGGTCAGCATTGTACTTGTTTTTAATACTGAATGAAACTAAACACGTAGTGTGCATTCAAGTTTGGACCTATGCCATGGCAACAGAACATGGCATTTCATGAGTGACTGACGCCAATGTCTCCTCATTACTGTTATGTGATTGTCTCCCTGCCTTTTAATCTCCCCTTCCCATTTTTTAATGCTCCTTCTATTTTCTGTTCTTTTGGCAGCGATAAAATCAATAAAAACTGGATAGAAAGAAAAACAGAAAACAAAAATAGATAAAAAAAAGGTACGATTTTGGATGGTTTAGTTCGAGAGAAATAAAAGAAAAATCTAATAAAAAATGTAAGGGTGTCTGATTTGGATAAAATAAAGAAATTAAGTTAGAAATAAAAATACCATCAAAGTGTATAACGTCTTATAAATAATAATAATAATAATATAATAATAATAATAATAATAATCTCACAGTGGTCACCTCAACTCCAAGTTATCCATGACCTGCTCTCATACCAAGTATGATTATCACAGTCCCACCACATGGAAACAGAAGGGTAAGCTAGAGTTTAAAAATCAATCATACAAGTACAGAATAAAATATATACTACACATGCAACCAAATCAAGTCCCTAAAGGAAACTTCCATCTCAATCAATCATTCATTCATCAAACATGAAGTCAAACACCATACACTTCATCATTATAACAATCATGCAATAGATGCAACTCATGATAAATATCAATGCATATCAATCATCTAATGCGTCGTCACGCATACACGTAGGAGATCTCCTTAACAACAGAGCTGTATAAGTGACATCCCATCCTGTCGAAACTACCCCAGCTGTTTTCACGCCCAATGCGCCCGCTCGATCACAGCTAAATAGGATATAATCCTTACTCGGGTTTACTCGGATGATGTCACTTACATAATTGGAAGTCCAGATCCACCGTCAGGTATAGCACAACTAGGTACAGGCTTACCATGACCTTAGCATGCATTACCAAGTCAATTGTGGAGTTCGCCCACCGACTATCCGCAAGGATCCACGCACCTTCCCGAGTACTTGGTTAAGGGAATAACCCTCGACCTCATACCCCGCTCCAACACTAGCTAAGGACTTAAAGGAGACTCACCCAACCCAGTGGCCTACCTGAGCACCACTATCCCAAATCTAGTGGCCTACCTGAGCACCACTCTCATATATCAGTGGCCTATCCAAGCACCACTCTCAAGAGACTCTATGTGAGCTCTTCCAGTTTGAAAATATTATTGATCATGATGGTGGGTAGACCGTGTATGATGTATGATGCATTATTGCATGTGATGTCTTATGACATGTGTATGAATGTTGATCATGATGGTGGGCAGACCATGGATGATGTGTGATGCATAATTGCATGTGATGCCTTATGGCATGAGTCTAGCCTAGGACTTGAGGAGAGGAAAAATATTTTCAGTTTTTTATTTTCCTAAATCTAATGTTTCTGGCTTTGAAACCAATCTAACCTGAATCAAATAATATTATATTTATATGTAAATGTTTTTTTCCCTAAATGTATAGTGTACATATATAATACATTAAAATTATGATTCCGAGATATTTAGTTTCTTTATTTTTTTAAATTAAAATTTTGATTCGTTTTTCAAATTGATATATACTGTAACGACCCGCCATGGTCTCTACACTGAGTGGAATCGCACTATTACTAGTGAACTAAGAGAAATATTAAGTTGGATAACTCATACATACATGTATAGATAAGAATAAAAATAACTAAGTTTCTTAAATACAAAATAGAACGTCATATATGTACAGTCATCCAAAAAATAATACTCCCTAGTACCGGTCAAGCACAGACAAAACTGTTACCCAAAATGGTAACTCTAACACGAGGATCAAACTCCCCGTCTCACAGTGGTCACCTCAACTCCAAGTTATCCATGACCTGCTCTCATACCAAGTATGATTATCACAGTCCCACCACATGGAAACAGAAGGGTAAGCTAGAGTTTAAAAATCAATCATACAAGTACAGAATAAAATATATACTACACATGCAACCAAATCAAGTCCCTAAAGGAAACTTCCATCTCAATCAATCATTCATTCATCAAACATGAAGTCAAACACCATACACTTCATCATTATAACAATCATGCAATAGATGCAACTCATGATAAATATCAATGCATATCAATCAGCAGTAAAACCCAAGTGTGGTAGTGAGTCCGTTGGTCAGCCATGGATAGAGGCCAAGTTGTTACACTAGTAAAAGAAGTGTAAAAAATGTCAAGGTTATTTGATTCTATTAGTAATTTAGGATTAAAGAATAAAAACAAGCAAGTAGTTATTAGGAATCCTAGTCAACAAGATGCATCCTCATCAAGTTCACAAGACATGGTAGAACAAGAGCTTAGAATAGCAGAAATAGAAAACTCTCTCCATAATTGGTCAATACCCTTAGTCAAAGACTAACAAGATTATTAATTTATTAGAACAAACATTTTTAAATGAACATATTAGAAAGGGGTATAATTTTATACACCTAGGATTAATTCAAGTAGCAGCAAAACCTAATTATAGATTAGGAGTTAATAGTCCAATATTATTGTTACTTAGGGATCTTAGAATGAGACAATTTTCTGATTCAATAATAGCAATATTAGAAAACAACTTGCATGATGGTCCCAATACCCTATCCATCTTTAACCTACGGACAAATTCATAGTATAGTAATTGAAACTGGTATTCAAGTTTGTAATGATTTCAAACTTCAGAATAAGCTTAGAAAAGAAAGTACCACCAATAGGAAAGAGATAGGTAACTTTTGCCAACAATATGGAGTAGAATCTATTAGAGCACCAAGTGCCCAACATAAAAAATAGAATAAGAAAATAATAACTTTTCAAAAGAATCGATGCAAGCCTTATAAAAAATTCAATAGATACCACAAAAAGAAAGATGAGCAGCAAGGAGAATCAAAACAAAAATAAAAAGAAAGTATAATAATAATAATAATAATAATAATAATAAAAAGAATATTACTTGTTGGAAATGTGGAAGAGCATTTCATTTTGCTAATAAGTGTAGAGTTCAACAAAAGATTAATGAATTAGAAATAGATGAGTCTATTAAGAAAAGTCTTTTAAATATATTTATAAATTCAGATCCCGAGGAAGAAGATGACATTTTGTCTTCATCTCTAGAAGAAGAAAGCATTACTGAGGAAATGATTTATCAACTAGAAGTTTCTTCTTCTAGTAGTATAGACGATGTTGATAATGATTATTGTTTAGGACCAGAATTATGTACTTGTAATAATTGTAAATCCATTAATATGTTATCCTCTGAACAAACTACAACTTTATTAGAAATAATTCAAAAATTAGAAGATGGTCCATTAAAAGATGAGTTTATTAGTCAATTAGATAAATTAGTTAAAAAAGATAAAAGAGAACAAGAGGTAATTCAAGATATAAATTTAAAAGAAATATATAATAGATTTAGAAAACCTGGTCCAATAACAATAAAGGATTTACAAGATGAAATAAAAATTTTAAAACAAGAAATACAAGAGTTAAAATAAAATGATATTGCCTTAGAATATAGAATTTTAGAACTAGAAGGTTTTGATAAACTTAAGTTACAAGAAAATTATAAACCAGGAAATGAAGAATCTTCAACCTCGCATATGAATTATTTAAATTTAATATCTGTTCATAAATGGCATTGTAAGATTAGGTTAATAATAGGACAATAAGAGTTTAATTTAATAGCCTTAATAGATTCAGGAGCTGATATTAATTGTTTGCAAGAAGGTTTAATACCCTCAAGATACTATGAAAAAACCAAAGAAAAGGTAGTTAGTGCTAATAATTCAAGAATAAAGATTAATTATAAACTTTCTTCGGCCAAGATATGCACTAATAAAATCTATTATGAAACCTCTTTTGTATTAATAAAAGATATGAATATACAATGTATTTTAGGAACTCCTTTTTTATCTTTATTATATCCTTTTAGCGTAACCGCAAAAGGATTAGAAACAAAAGTATTAGGTAATATTATGTTTTGAATTTATTAATCCTCCTAGATCAAGAGAATTAAATCTTTTAAAAGAACATTCTACTAGCATTATTAATAACAAGAAAAAACATATTAAATCTTTAAATAAAGAAATTCAATACAAAAGAATAGAAGAACAATTACAACATACAAATATTCAAAAAATTATTAAAGAATTTCAAGAAAAAATAGAAAAAGAAATTTGTGATTTAAATCCTATAGTCTTTTGGCACCGTAAAAAATATGAGATATCTTTACCTTATATTGATGGGTTTAATGAACAAGATATAAAAACAAAAGCCCGACCAATCCAAATGAATGCCCAATATTTGGAATATTGTAAAAAGGAAATTCAAGAATATTTAGATAAAGGATTAATAAGGCCTTCAAAATCACCCTGGAGTTGTTTTGGATTTTATGTTATGAATGCCTCTGAATTAGAAAGAGGAGCTCCTAGATTAGTAATTAATTATAAACCTTTAAATAAGGTTTTAAAATGGATTAGATATCCTTTACCCAATAAGCCAGATCTTATTAAAAGACTTCATAATGCAATAATATTTTCTAAATTTGATATGAAGTCTGGGTATTATCAAATTTCAGTAAAAGAAGAAGATAGATGCAAAACAGCTTTTGTTGTACCTTTCGGACATTATGAATGGAATGTAATGCCCCAAGGTCTCAAAAACGCTCCTAGTGAATTTCAAAATATTATGAATGATATTTTTTTATAATTACATGGACTTTATCATAGTATACTTAGATGATGTATTAGTTTTTTCAAAATCAATAAATCAACACATAGAACACCTTAATAAATTTATAAATATTATTAAAGAAAATGGCTTAGTAGTATCTGCAAAAAAGATAAAAATCTTTCATACTAAAACTAGATTTTTAGGTTATGAAATTTTCCAAGGTACTATAACTCCTATACAAAGATCTTTAGAATTTGCTGATAAGTTTCCTAATGAGATAAAAGATAAAACCCAACTTCAAATATTTTTAGGATGTGTTAATTATGTAGCAGATTTTACTCCTAATATTAGAATTATATGTGCTCCTTTATATTTAAGATTAAGAAAAAATCCAATACCCTGGAGTGATGAGATGAGTCAAATAGTAATAGAGATTAAAAAAATAGTTAAAAAAATCCCGTGTCTTGGTATCCCTGATCCCCAAGCCTCATTAATTGTAGAAACCAATGCTTCAGAATTAGGATATGGAGGTATTCTCAAACAAAACCTTTCTTCCAAAGAGAAAGTGGTCAGATATCATTCGGGTATTTGGCATCCTTCTCAACAAAAATATTCAACAGTCAAAAAAGAAATTCTTTCTATTGTCTTGTGTCTTCAAAAGTTCCAAGATGATCTTTTTAATAATTTTTTTTAATTAGAACTGATTGCAAAGCTGCTCCTAGTGTTCTTCAAAAAGATGTCAAAAATCTTGTTTCAAAGCATATTTTTGCAAGATGGAAAACATTATTATCTTGTTTTGATTTTGAGATAGAACATATTAAGGGAGAGAAAAACACACTACCAGATTTCTTAACGAGAGAATTTTTGCAGGAGAATGAGCAAAAGCTCAAAAGACCAATACGGTTCTCCACTGAGAACCCCTAATCAGACATCAAGCAATACTACTAATAGGCCATCGGCCCCTAATTCAACTAGAAGCAATACTCCTCTCAGACCACAAAGATCAAACTTTTTAGCCACCATAAAAAAGGAACCTCAAATCACTTCATCCAACAAATATTCGCCATTATCTTTTCTAGACAAATATCAAAGTCCCACTCCTACTTCAATACCTACACCGTCCAAAAAATTATCTCATATCACACCTCCAATATCTACTCCTTCCGGCTCAAAATCTTATGAAGAAGAATACATTACTAAAGATGAAAATATTGATATCCTGCCAATAGAACCTGATTGGAAAAAATTAACTCCAATCACTTTAGCCTCCAAAATCTTTCTAGAAAATTACCATTACCTTTCTACCTACAAATCCATAATTTTTTATGAGTTTATTTTAATATACGCTGATTCCATAGAATTAACCCATACCAGAGATGATCAAGGCAAAATCCAATTTTCAAAAATAAAAATTCTTCGAATTATTACCCCTGATGAGTGGAACCAACCTCTTTATAAAACCAATAACTTTACAAGAACCTTCGAGCCTCAGCAATATTCTTATTATGACTATATTGATGCCTGGACCAATTTTCTTTATCTACAGCCAAAAACCCCTTCTTGGTTTATTTGGTTTTGTAGAGGAATCTCTTTAAAATTTCCCAAATGGTTTCTCGAATGGTTTGTCAAATTTGGACCTATTAGAGAAATCTTTCCTGATGAAGTCTCTGAGATATTTAATTATTTTAAACAAAAGACAACATTTTTAACATGATATAAGTTTATATCCTTTATAGCCTCACAAAACATTACTTGGATTATGTCAATGGATTACATATATCGACATCAAAGTTAAATGGTGTCGCCACCGGCCCAAACGGGCTTTCGGCATTCGC